AATTGTAGTATTGGGAATTGTGATAAAAATCATGAAGCATAAAACACTTGATTCTACCATATTTTTTAATTTGAAAAGCTATAATAGATCATCTTGTTTTCACGAGATATTAAAAGTAATATTACAAAAGAAATCCTTTTCTTTCTAAGAACATTCCATTATTACAAAAACCAAATGGATAAGTTACCAGAAGTTTTTTTCTTAATATACGCACTTTCGTATGTATTGGTTTTATTACTGAATCATTACTAAACAATGTTTTCAGACATGAGAGACTGAACGATTCATATTGACTCAAAAAAGTTCTTGTGAGAAAAAAGCGCACCTAAATACACCATATATAACCAGGTATATTCCTTTTTAATGCCAAATACTAAGAAATACTAAAATACAACACTAATAACTCGCAATATAACATATTATTGTATTACATTATTCCAATAATAATTGTGACTTATACTAATGAGAATTGACTATAATAAAAGTGACGAGAACAAAAAATATTCTAAATTTATAACCTGATCAGAAAAATAAATATGTTACGGTTAGTTCTGTGTTCTTCACTTCTAATGTCCAACACACTATTTTTACACACTAACGAAGGTCGAAGAATATAATCAGCCCCTGTGTCTAGCATTCGTGGACTATGAGAAAGCCTTTGACTCGATCGAGATCTGGTCTGTTCTGGAGTCCCTGCAGCGTTGCCAAGTAGATTGGCGATACATCCAAGTGATGAGATGTCTCTACGAAGCCGCCACCATGTCCGTCCAAGTACAGAATCAGCAAACAAGGCCCGTACCATTGCATCGAGGAGTGAGACAAGGGGACGTTATTTCCCCGAAATTGTTCACAAATGCAATGGAGGACATGTTCAAGACGCTGCACTGGAAAGGGCGTGGCATCAATATCAATGGCGAATACATCTCTCACTTGCGATTTGCAGATGACATCGTCATCATGGCAGAGACGTTGCAGGACCTACAGCAAATGCTGAATGACTTAGCTGACACTTCTGTACGCATCGGCCTACGGATGAACTTGGATAAAACCAAGGTCATGTTCAACAAACATGTACTACCGGAACCGATTGCGGTACACGGTGCCGTTCTCGAAGTTGTTCAAAATTATGTGTACCTCGGGCAGACATTGCAGTTAGGTAGAAACAACTTCGAGGACGAGGTGAACAGAAGAATTCGGTTGGGTTGGGCAGCGTTTGGGAAGCTACGTCGAGTCTTCTCATCGTCGATCCCACAGTGCCTTAAGACGAAAGTCTTTAATGAGTGCGTCCTACCCGTCATGACATACGGAGCTGAAACGTGGACACTTACGGTACGGCTGGTCCACAAGTTCAAAGTCGCTCAACGTGCTATGGAAAGGGCTATGCTCGGCGTTTCTCTAAGGGATCGCATCAGAAATGAGGTGATCCGGCAGAGAACTAAGGTCACCGACATAGCGTACCGGATCAGCAAGTTGAAGTGGCAGTGGGCTGGCCATATTAGCCGCAGAACCGATAACCGTTGGGGAAAACGAGTTCTTGAGTGGAGACCGCGTCTCGGCAAACGTAGTGTAGGACGCCCACAGGCCAGGTGGAGTGACGATTTGCGCAAGATGGCTGGCAGGAGCTGGATGCGAGAAGCCCAAAATCGATCTAAGTGGCGTGCAATGGGAGAGGCCTATGTCCAGCAGTGGACTGCGATAGGCTGATGATGATGATGATGATGAACGAAGGTCTCAATATGGAAAGAAACTAGATAATTATTTAAAAATAACCTAACCTAATGCGTAAAAATGTATACGTAAAATTTACAAACCAGTGATTTTAATTTTTATAATCTTCATATATCCAGTGTAACTCTCACAATTAAGACGAATCCAACGATACCTCAAACGACAAAATCCAGTAAGCCGTTTAAGCTACAGAGCGTGCCATAAATATACATACATAATATACAACATAACCCTCCCTTAGGTGGTCGTCTAAAAAAGTTTTACAAAGAATAGTGTACATTCATGCTTAGGACTCCCTTTTAAAAAAAAAGGTCTGACTTCATACATCACAGATAAATTTCGAGGTTATGTAAATGGATGCTACTAATCTAAATATTTTAGCTACATTCAATAAGTAGGTAAACAATATTTTATTGTACCTACTTCCGTTTCAAATTTGGGTCTTGGCATAATTCACTAAAAACGTATCGTACGTTACAAATACGTTCTTGTATTGTTTTACTTCTCTAATAAATATATGTACATATTTATATTTCATAACTTTGATAGTAATGATGGTTTATATGCAAATATTTATTTTTTTGATCAGGTTGTGCACAAAATTACCTAAATTATGAGTATTATAAGAATTCTCTATAGATTAGAATTCGGTGGTAAAAATAGATATGTGGGTTATATTTACAAGAATTGGATGCATGAGACTGTTCTTCATGACAACTATTCGGGTCCTAATGAAATGGGTAATCATTCTATCGCCATGATGACTAAATTGTAATTTCATGTAGAAGATAAAAAATATAATATCTGTAATTCCTTATTTTTTAATTCACTGCACACGACTATATGTTAGTCTATTTAGAATGAAGAACGTTAAGCTTAAAATTGCTTATTCAATTCCTAAATCGTTACTACAGCAGCCCTTCATTTCAATTTTCTCAGTTAAGAGGGTTCAGTTAGCATATGGACACTGCATTGAAAATCTTGCTTACGTCAAGGAGTGAACCCCCATTATTCTCTTACTACAGCACACAGGGATGATAATAAAACGGGGGTAAAAACCAATCACCAGTTGCTACAGAAATCTTACATTTGTTTAACTGGCTAGAACCTTTATTTAATCAATAATTGAAAGCGTTATTGATAGGAGTTTTCTACCTAGGAAGCGCAAAACATCGTCCAGGCCATATCCTATATTTTATAATAGGTGATGTTTTGTTCATTTTATTATTGAAACTAGCTATTTACAATTAGTACACATTCTAGTAATTCGGTAGTTAACTTTCTACATTATTATACAGTCACAAAAACTTCAATCCTTGGCCTGGACCGAACATACAGTAACCAGTCCCCTTTACAATTTAAGTATTTTGGCCGAGGCTATCTTTATTTAATCTTATTTAACTGCAATTCAAAATTTTAGTTTAAATTCTAGTTATTAGTAGAAAACTAATGGCATCCTAGAATCCATCCATCCAATCCATCGTAGAATTTTCACATTTATTATATTTTACAAAGTATGAAAAGTACTGGAATATACTGGTCTAGTCAACAAGAAGTACCGCTAGAATTCAGTATTTATTACTAAGTTGTGGACTCACAAAATTAATGCGAAATAGTCGAGTGACTATGAAGAGAACTTTCCATTTCCCAGACTATCAAGGTTGATAAAGGGATAGATACAAGACGGAGAGATGAGTTGCAGCGGACTACTGTGCTATAACAGCTCATTGTAAAGCGGAGTACAGACCCATCTCAAAATATTTAACACAATTTCCAAAGAGGCAACGTGTATCAGACAAAAAATTTCGAAACGCCTTTGCCCATCAACAATTGTATTAAAAACTAACACTTATAAGGCCCAAGTGTTTCAGTTCTAATTAAAATTCAATAAAGTGACATCACATCCCTAAGACACTAGGAGACTACTGAGAAGATGGATGAATTTTTGATGATGAAAACATTGGCGAGCATTAAATTAATGATAACTAAGTTTAAATAAGAGATTTAAATGAATGAGTTTAAAAATTTGTACGAAAATTTCTTTGTAACATCGACCATGTACTTAATTCAATTTTAATGCCTTAGCCACATAACTAAATTACGAATGTACTCTTTGTGCTTCAGACATTAAATGGACTCAATTTTTTGGAACGAAATATTTTATATTCAATTACAAGGTATAATTAGATGAGGTGTATACGTATACAATACATATGTTTTCTCGCCAATGTAGAATGAGGCACTTGGACTAAATGACGTCATAACAATTGACTACGCGGCCTAATTAACTTGTGTAAAATGTATTGTAGAAAATTCACTAGTAAATTCGTGTTTAGTGCGTGTGATTAAAGCACCTTATTGTTATGTCCCTAGTATTTACTACAGTGTTTAATCTAATCGAGATTCTATCGAATTTCATTAATTAAGACACAGAATTAATAATTGTGAATGGTAATAAATAACCTATAACTTTTTAATTATTATTGAGGCACATAAAGATGACATAACATTTGTTTTTGGTTTTGCAGATTTGTCATATATTAATTACCTTTTATTATAATATCTATATTTTATTGCACGTTCACAGTGCAAGTATCGTAAGTATCCATTATTACGAATATATATGAAAGATTTAAAATTTTGAACAAGTCGAAACGGTAGGGCACATAACCATGATAAGTAATGGTGAATGGGATCCAAAACTTGTTCCTTATTTTATTGATTGAATCGCATACTTCAAATCTTGAGTGAGAAACCGTATCGCCGTTTCTTGTAATGATTGTAACATCTTTTTAAATGAATGGAACTATTTGTTGTCAAATAGAATGATTTACAAGTAGTTTTACACTAAGTGTTATGAAAACTACCGGAAGTCTACAAGACGTAGATACGAGACTAATTCTTAATGATAAACGTGTGCAGGATTCGATTCGATTGAAATGTCACCTACCTACATTCAAATATTGCTCTGGGTCACCGACTCGATCACAAATACTTATTTAGTTTCTAAACTCAAAGGTTAGGAGTACCTTTGAGTTTAGAAACTAAATAAGTATTAAAATTCAAAAATTAAATTACTACGGATACTAAATACACGTATTTACACAATGACTAATTTTAAATATCCAAGAGGTCGAGATCCCAGCCTTCCCACTGCGACGACACGTACGAGACGCAGGTACCGTTAAGAGTGAGCACAGTGATCGGCCAACAGGTCCACAGACAGTCTAGAGCAGCAGCGCCGAGTCTGGCGCCAGCGCGAGCCTCGGGCGCTAGGTGGCGCTGGCGGGGGCGGGCGGGGCGGCGGGGGCGGGGGCGGGTGCGGCGTGCGGGGGCGCGGGGGGCGGGGCCGCGGGGGGCGAGCAGCGCAGCGCGGCGTGGCGGCGCAGCAGCTCGGTGACGGTGATGGCCACCTGCACGGTGCCCTTGCCCTCCAGCACGTCTGCCGCGCAACACATCAGTTTCTGGAACGCGTTCACTCGGATTAAGTTTTTCCGACGCCTAACTTTTGACAAAAGATTCATTAGTCAACTCCTGTTCTATTTAGTTTAACGTCAATCTGTAGTGTTGCTGATGCCACGATTTAATATTAAAAACGTCTTATTTCGTGGTAAATGTAGACATGAGACAAGTAGACATGTAGACAAGAGAGAAACAAATAGTGATGCATAAGAACGTCTACTTTTAAAGTATCAAAAGCGAGACCAAAATAATATGTACCTTCGGGCTGGATTTCGTAAACATCTTTGTAAAAAGCTTTTTAAAAATTCCAGTCAAAAACCAGTTCAAAAACAATACAATGAAATATCTGTCGAAAGTGAGCTAAACAAAGTAGATTTTAAACGACTCATTCCTAATGATTCACCCAATCGATACTCTAGGATAACCACAAGGAACCCTATTCCTGTTGGTTCACCTGCCTAAAAATAGAGTCAACGAATCGTACAATAAAAAGACAATATTAAGAACTTACTTAAAGCCTTTTTTAAACGAAATGATATTGAAATTACTTTGAATTTCCGACAGAGTACGTGTTATGGAATTATAATGTTCTTGTTATGGTTATGTTATATCCTTAGAAATACTAATAGGTTTAGGGAGACCGCCTATTAAATATACATAGTAATTTCAATAATTAACTCAATCTCTAAGTGACCAACGGGAATAGGAGCTTCCCCGTGGTTACCCTAGGGTACTAGACATTTAAAACCGCCATCAAAAAAGTTTTGATAGTTCTTAATTACGTAATGTATAAATAAAAGACCCACATTGCCAATAAGAAATTTATTTCTTTAAAGTAGTTGAAACATTGTAAGTACATACAAAAAAGTACATTAAAATCATGACTAACAGCCAAATATATTAAAAAACCCTCATATATGAATAATCAAACGATGAAATGTTAGTGCATTACATGAAAAATGCGTGTTAATTAAATGCAAATTACATCTACAAGTAATACTGAATTTTATTAGTAAACATCCAAATAAAACGGTTACCCAATCAAATTAGATAAGTCTTATGATAAATGGAATAATAAAAGACTGGTTTTAATGTATTTAGTCAAGTGGCAAGAATTTATTATAAGTTAGATAATAACAATCTGTGGTTAGAGTTAGTCCATAAAATATTGTAGTTAATAAGTTAATTTCAATATTATTGGTAATTAAAACTGTCGTCTATGAATTCTAAGACAAAAAGTCCATATATTTGTAAGAAACACATTGAAACCTTAGTAACGCTTCCTTAACACAACCAACAGGAAAAGTCTAATTTTAATTAATTGGTTTAGGGTTCTATTAAAACCAGTCACTACAATTACATAAATAAGTACCCAAGCACCACAAGCTAATAAATATATTTACGCGATATATTTAAATTATATATTAAACACCTATTTATATCTCTTAGTAATAATCAGCATTGTACTTGCGACTTTAAAGCTCAAAACTAAGTTAAAAAGAATAGACCAAACATATACAAATCAGGTGTACAATTTTTAAACTTTCGCCTTCCATTACATATAATTATTACTAACAAACGAATATTAAAAAGTATTACATAATATGTTATGTTACATGATCATAGTCACAGCCGGACTCAAGTCCGCTCAAAGCAAAAACCATTGCAACCGGATCGATACGGCAAGTAATTCAGAGGTTAATAATAATTATATACAAATCATGTTATCGCCAGAATAAGTAGAATCAAATATAGAACAAAATACCCCACCTACAACTTAGGATATGACCAGAATAAGTAGAAATATGTGAAATAAATAATATGTATATATATAAAAGTAGTTTTTAGATCTTTTCACAAATACTAAACTCTCTTTTCTTTTATGATTACTGTTATGTGAACGGTAACTTTAAAGGAAAATAATATAAAGAAAAAATCTGGAGTCAAAAAGCTTGCGTCAAATGAATACATGCTTTCTATAACTTTTAATAAATAATGCAATTTATGAGTTGTCTTTTTAGAGTTAAAAGTAGTTAATTAGAAACAAATGAAATATCAAATATAAAGCGACGAAGTTAAGCAAACGAAAATAGTCTTTATCAACACATCTTTGGAATGATTACTATATAATTAATATTCTTTCTTCACATTAAATATTTTATGAATATTTTGCACTTGTCTTAATAATGTTACATGTTATATAAATGTATAAAATCATTGTTATATAAATATATTACATTTATACTGTTCTTATTGGCATCGATTGTGCTTGTTGGCTTTCATAAGGAATATCTGTCGATTAATTTTATTTTAACATTGTTTTTTATCATATCTTACGTAAAAAGCCTCGAAATACACTACAAAACTACTAATGAAAATTTTATCCATTGACACAGTGAGCAGTACGTACAGACAATTCTTTCAAAAAGCAAAACTAGAGAGGTGTCTCTACTAGGGGAATAAATTTCTGAATTTTTAAAGGAAAAAACAAGATTATCACACCCGGTTTAGTCAATATGCACAAAAGCAGCTGTATAGTTTTATTGACTGATATTCGTTTAAAAAGTGTAGCACGTAAAGTAGTTGCAAAATATTTCCAGTATATTTTCTTTGATATATGCTCAGATTTAATCTGTACTTGAAAGGTTTAGCCTGCGAAAGACGCGTCTATAAACCGACTATAACTTAATAAAATTTCGTCTCGTACGCATTGCTACTAGATTTTCATTTTCTCTCTCTCGCCCTCTCTTCCATTTTCCTAATCTAAAAGACAGATCTCAATATTAGCTTTTGCATTAATAATACAATAACGATATGATGTTTCGATTAAGGCATACAATTCTTATTTAATAAGAAATATCGATAAACAGCTAAGCTACGAATGTTATTTATATAATCGTATAATATGTTAGTTAATGCATACATTTCAATTTATCATCATAATACTTTATGCACCAATATTTACGAGTTAGATTTAGTGTAGGTACTTCAATTCTCATTAGGGCTGGCGTGTTATGTTGTTTGACAGGATTAGTAGAGAAGACGTTATAAATGGTCAAACATCACTTTGTATCACAAAAACAAGCCTGTTTTAGAATACTGTTATAATCACTCTAGTACCTTACTTTCTAATAACTTTGTGGGTAGTGCTAAATTTAAAGATTTTTAATCTGTGCTAATACACTCGCAGATATTATATGAGTGTACAGCAAATTGTATATACCTTTAAAACTGTTTAGGTAATAATTGTGCGTTATATCCTTACTTTTACTTTATTAATCGTTTTATTAAAAGCACGTAATAGTATCAGTAAATTTTAATATTATGAATATATCATAATATAAATTGTTCTCTTCGGGATTTACAATGGAAAGCATTCAATGGCTTGGCACATAAACATACACCATGATCTTCAATCCCAAACACCATAACATACCAGTATTTAAGGAATTTATTAGCAATATTAATATTGCATTATAACTGTTTAATATGAATCTAAGTGTATATGCCTATTGCTTTTGAAACTTGGTGCAAAAAGACTACTGAACCGCATGATTACTACATAATATAGTTGCATCAAAATTGCATTGCTTAAGTGTAGGATTAAAATTTAAATTATATACTTAACAGCAAATCAATCAACACAACAAAACACTTGAGATCTCTGGAAAAAAATATTTTGCAGACTGCAGACAATGAAAATGTTCTTCTTTTACATCTTTTATAATCATCAACAGCTTTTAACAGTCCACTGCTGGACACAGGCCTCTCCTTATAAAGGAGGTTTCGGTCTACCATATCTTGTATAATATGAGGGTTGGCAATATTATTATTTGTCGAGCTAGGGTATGAACCTCAACAAAATTACTTAACAAAATAAAACAATTTCTTTTTCAAATCACACTTTAAACTTTTAAAATTACCGTTAATAAGATTTACACATCTAATACATCCATACATAAGGTCTCTTAAAATTTTAAAATAATTTGTAAACTCAAACTGATATACCTATTTTCGTCATATTTGAAAACTGCACCTTTTGACTAGCAGAAGAGTTTTACACATAAACTGAAAGGCAAAATTACCCTTAGTTTATTGCCTACAGTCTGCAAACTTTGTTACAAAAATCAAAAACACAAACACGCAAAAATACCCATTAGCAACCAATACAACTACATTAAACAATTGGCAAAATATAAAATTAATAAAAAAGAACCCTAATTAAAATTTAAATGCCTCTTATCGGAATGAAATTAACAAGTGGAATTATATACCAATTAAAATTACAAAACTAAACTAATCAAAAAACAAATTCACTGCAACCACATTGTCTTTTAGAACAAACACAAATATTAATCTTAATTCCATAGTGTATATCCATCTAAATACAATCCAATTCCTTATCAGACTTCAATTCAGCTTCATTCTAAAAAACTAGCCTCATAATTCGATTTCAGACCACAATCACAGTCAGACTGTGTTAAAGGCAAAATACATATAGTTTATCTTGACCAGTAGAATTATCTTAAAATAACCATGTTTATTTTAGATCTCAAAGAGATAAACTTTTTTTCTCCATGTAATATAAATGATACTTGACTTGTCTTAAAACTTTATATTTTTATATTTAAAAACCTAATGAGCGTATAATCATAAAAGCGTTTTCGAAATGTAGATATTGGTGTACATATTTAATAATCACATTTGAATCAATTTATTTAAGAGATTGTTAATTAAGCCATTGGCAAGTTGGAAAATATATTAAATTTTTAACCTCTTAAAATTTTTATGTATTTTTTTAAACGTTTCTACTAGTTATTACATTACCAAAATAAAAATAAAATACACACCCGAAATATAAACAATTTACAAAAAGCATCAGCATTTTCGGGCGATTAAACGCTGTCATTTTGGCGCGCTTATTTTGTGACGTTAGATTACACGGTTCGTCGATGTCAACAACGAAGTGTTTGGTTCACAAAGTTACTGAAAGTTCAAAAAGTGTTAAAATCAACTTATTGCCATGGAAAAGCTCAGAAAAGTTTATTGTAAATATTGTGTCTTTCCTACGTGACAAAATAACATCAAAACTGGACCTGGCAAAGTATATTATCTTATGCCGAAATATACGGGTATAAGGAGAAAGTGGTGCAAGGCGATGAGAAGAGACAATGTACGTGTTTTAGCTGTCTGTACTGTTGTGAAGATCATTTTTACTTAGATACCGCCACATATATTTTTTTACAAACTTCGACGAATACATAACCTAGTTTACAAATAGTTCGTAATGATTTATTAGTTTTATTCATGCACAATACGTTTCGTAACTACGTTGCATTCTTAAGAAGAATATAAGTATGTATGTGTATAAGAATTTTGCCATTGAAAACAGAAGAGGCAAAATGGTTGGCCACTTGATAAGACACGACAAATTCTTTAGTGTAACATAATACTGGAAGGAAAAATAGAAGGTAAGAGAAAACGAGGATGGCCTAGATCAACATACATACAGCACATGAAGGAGAAAGTGGGAGTCGTGGCCTATCAAGAGGTCTAACAGATCGCAGGAAATAGATAGGAGTGGAGTGGTGGAGCAGTCTCCACCGACAAGTGCTTGGCTCTTAAATTGAGTGTATAATAAGCCACCAAACAGGTTAGGCTAGCACTTAAAATCTATAGAACTCAATATCTAATACACAGGTATTTAGCCATAAGAGAATTGCCTATGAATGAAAACATATACCTACCTAACTTATTACAATAAGAGGGAAGATGTAAACTATTTTCATTTACCTTTCTTTTTCAGATTGAAAATAATTATTTGTATTAAAGAATTTATGATCATCATAAATACGTCTATTTTAGGAAGATCACCTGATTGTGCTTTGGCAAAGCCGGTTTCAGTAATTGTGTTAGGTCTTCCTTCACAGAGATTTAATACTTTAACACAGAAACCTAATAACGTGATATTAAACAACCGCAAAATAATAATCAGCAGAAACCAATCAAACAACTTGTTGACAGAAGACGTCGAGTGAAATTTGACGTCACGTTTTGTTAAACCAATAGCGTTGCGTTTTAGAAATTTGAGAGAGAATTTTAAAAAAGCTACTTTTTGATTAACTTTACTATTAAATTATGACACATTTCAAAAATAATTGTATAGGTATCTTTTTTTTAACAATAAAGTTTAAAATAAAAATATTTGGTCTATTTTGGAGTCACGTGCATATTACCTATTATTGAATTGCCATATGTAATATTTTAGTACAATGCAACACTGCACAAACGATCAGCATATTTTTGATCTCTCCTATATGTTTGAATTTGAGTTTGAGGATCTATCTCTCCTGTCTCCAGCAAAGCCTGATTAATACACTCGCTTGATTTTTTAAGCTGCTCTAAGGTGTATAGTCACAGTATATAGTTTAGTGAGGTTATTGCACACACTTTGTATAATTCAGGATCAAAAAAGAAGCTATTCTCTTTGAGTACTATTCATACAGTTATCGAATGTATGGTAAACAGAGAATAACCAAACAGGTCAAGTAAGTATTCAGACATACGTCCAAAATAAATTAAGTTGTTTACAAAGGATAAATAATAAGTAAAATCGTGGACACAATAAATGTGCCAAGACATAAACAAGTAAAAAATACTTTGTTCTCGTCTTCTTTAGTAGCAGCCTCGGTTGCAATCGCACTGTTTAAATTATTTTGTATGTCGAGAATCATTTTACCCCTGTCGTAACGTTCTACGTCCTCCTCCTGTCTTATCTCTGAAGGAAAATCTACTTCATCAGTGTCGTAAATTTCAAAATTTTCGTTCGTTAATATATGGTGTTCCTTGCATATGGGTGTCACGAATTGAATTCTATTGTTTTGGAAATACGGTCCCCTATTTCTTAATTCACTGGTCCCGTAGACTGGGGAATAGTGTACGCTTAATGATACATCTGTGTTGTTGTTTTCACAGTTCAATTGGTATTCTTCTGACTCGTCGATAGTGTAGTGTTGGTTGTTTTCAGAGAAAGTGTTGAAGTTGCTTATAAAACGGTCTTCAGAATATCTCCTAAGCTGCCTTTGGTAGTAGTTGACTTCTAAAGACGCATCTGCGTCCTCACTGGCATAGTACTCGGTGGCGTACTCTTCAGATCGGTCACTAGTCTCATAGTGTGGGTCTGTGTGTATATCCTTAGGCGGGGCGGGCGGCGTGGCGTGTGTGAGCAGTGCGGTCACAGTGCGAGCGAGAGGGAAGATACTCGGCTCTCCGTCGCACTCCTGATGGATTCCCAGTATGTCTTCGGGCGAGCAGAGGACCTCCTGCAACACACGCCACCCGTCTCTTAGTTTCATATAACATTTCTGTTACTCGCGAAAGGATATCATACAAGACCCTGCAACACGAAACGACACGAAGCACGGTATGCAACTAATCAGTCGAAATTTAAATTCCGCATTTGATAGGATATTAAAGCCACAATTAAAATACATCGACAGTAACATAAGATAAATACAAACAGAGATTATCATAAAAAAGATCAATATTAACGATTCCATGTACAAATAGCAAGGGGTAAACTTACCTCTTCTACGCCAATTTTTCGACACGCTTCTAAGAAGTTGTCTACATTCCTTCTACATCTCGCCATCGTCAGCTTGGGCTGAAAACAAAAAGTAACATATTATAAATAAATAGAAACTGAAAGCATTATGTCATTTCACTCCGTCTATACCATACACGTTTCTTGATATGAATTTGATATATTTTACGTCTACGATGAGTATCTAGTCAATTTAGCTGCAAATGCCTTAATCAAATAAATGTATGTAAAATATACATGCACGTCATCTTAAACTGTAAAAACCAGAGTTAAAATATCTTTCAATCCAATCTAGGATAGGAGGATAGGCAGCAAATGTAATTTGAGTTCTGCTAATTTTGTAGTAAGATATACCCACCAGCTTGTTTTAGCCTGCAACATGTTTTGTTTGCCAAATTCTGATAATTTAACGAATTAATCTTCTACTACTGTCATTCAATGTTAAAGGTATTGTTTCATATAATAGACCAGTATAGCTCGAACTTACATTCTATTCACTTTTATACCAGCATATTTTTTAACGTTTATAACACTTATAAACGTAGTATTCTAATGTTGGCAGTGTGTGTGTGTATACCTGTGCGGGCGAGGGCACGTGCACGGAGGCCACGGAGCGCGGGCGCACGTGGTTGGCGAGGTGGCACAGCACCACCCCGTCGCACAGCACCGACGACAACTGCTCCGGTAGGGACATCTTCAGTCGGGACTCGATTATCTGTTTAATTATACAACGTTTTACATATTTAAATCACGGTCGGGGTTGAACAAGATAGTCATCCTCAATTACGTCGTTTTGTTATTCCAATGTTACCGTTTAACATGCATCTTCGTTAATAAAAAGAGGAATTAATATACTAAAGTAATCAATAATTGAATAATATAATTGAATTGTGTAGTAAATTTGATCCCCACATGGGACAACACTTTCTGTGATCCATAAATTGTTGTTTTGAATCTGGATGTTCTTTATATTCGTTTCATGAACGCCCTCCGCGACACAGAATGTTCTTAGTGGGGCCTCCCGCACTAAGAATATTCTTATAAAAATTTGACAAACCTGACCTATAGGTGGGATCTCGGTTATATTAAACCCTCGCGAATCTATCAAACAAGTTATTCATTTTGTCATGTAATGTAACAAGGTTACCTCACAACGGTCAACGACCCATAGGGGCTATATTAACGAGGAAGCAGCACACTCGGTACAGTTCTACCCCTGCTTCCCTATTTCAATACCGACTTAATGTAAATTTCAAAATATGTTACCGTCCGCAACTGCTGTATCAAATCCGACTCTTCCTTTTGTTTATCGAACTCTCTCTTCATGGTAAAGCTGAGTTTATCCGACGGCGAGTCTTTGTTCCAAGCCATCTTCCCTGGGGGCTTCGGCGCAGCACCTTTTAAGTACGACACACTCGTTGTTAGTAGCCTAGCATTATCCCCGTTCACTTGTCGGGGAATACTTGACTTTCCTAAACTGTTGTACCCTATCGTGTTAGTCGGCGACTTTGTTGGAGACGTAGGCTTTATGTAAGCGTCTGCTTGGCCGTTCACTCGTCCATTATAGTCTACGTTGCCATTAACACTCGAGTACATCTTGTTTACGTTTCTAGATGGCACTACTTTTTGTACGGGTCTTTTGTTCTCCTCCTGTTTCTCTGTGATTCCGTTGCCGTTTGTGTTTGTTTGGTTCGGGAACCTTCTAGGAGTGGAGTGGAGGAGGGGGGAGTTTGGCACTTGGGAAGTATTTGGCGAGGAAGAATGTAAGGTAGAATTTGAAGAAGCGGTTTTATAAAGACTAGAGGATACGTTACTGAAACCGTTGATTGGAGAGTTAGTTGACTTTTGGTGGATAGGACTCTGGTTTTGGGATTGTGGTGATGAATCCAGTTCTGGGGAAGGTTGCTCGGTGCGGGGACGATAGATGTCTTGTTGGCGCTGTTGTCTTAATGCTTCTTTGTATTGTCTGTAATGTTATAAAAAATGCAATTAGCTGATATGATGAGAACTTTATAGATATTATTCTGTTATTTGCTTTTGTTATTAGCAGCATTTAATTTATTTGTACCTATAAAAATAGTAATATTATGACTATATTGGCGAAAAAAAACAGAAAAGCCATAAGTTCATAATAGATTAGTACTTTTTATCTCACTCCGTTAGATTTCTTTTTACCTTGCAACATTCCAAATAAAAACAAAATAGATATATAGAAGAATATTTGATACTGCTCTTTAGGAAATAAACATTACAATGTTTTGATTGTTTTTACTAACTTATATTAAGCCGTCTATTTATCTGTGGGTTGAACAAGATTCGTCCGGATATCAAACAAATTATTGAAATTGATATTACATTCTATTATATTTTGCGTCATTCAGTTCATACTTAATTTAAATTTAGTTGATATTGTCTTGAGGATATCCTCAAATGAAAGGACTCTTGTGTAAGGTTTTTGGCGGTTTGTCAAGCTTTCATATTTCGATAAGCCGATTAGATTCACAATAAAAACACGGCGGATATTATGTTATAGGCAGTTGTATTTCAATTACTTCTTTTTGTATCACTTTACATATATGTTCGATTCCACTTCCTAATTTACACTGTAACCCGGCTATATAGCGAAGTGGGACGTAGTAAACGTGCGTGGGGAATACTGAGCTCATTAGCACCGACAGTTCATGCAATTTTGTTAGTGCAGCCCTTGTTGGGGGAGCAGGTTCCCAATTAGTACCTCACAAGAGCGAATTGTGCATGATAGGTAAGTATTTTTTGTGTTGTTGAAGCTAGTTCTTCCAACTACGTGACGTCAGCAAATTTCTAGTTCATGAATTGAAAAAAATATGTATATATTTCATGAAAAGTTACAGTAAGTTGCATTTTTTTTAAGGGGTACGCTTCATTCCCTTTTTGTATATATTTAAAATATTAGTACACAAAAATAATGTAATATTTTTCGTATTTCATCGAATATATTTTTTATATCTACTTTTACGTCTGTATAGTCTCTAGATATCTGGTTTATCAGTACTGTAAAAGATATAGCCAGCGATAAACTGTCAGATTAACTAACAGATTTTTCCCGATAAGATTCACCTCAGCAAACTTCATTAGTAGAAGTAGAACCCTCAATTACATCAATGCCTTTAAAGTTAACGATTCAAACGTCATTCTGACCTCACGAAGCAATTTGCTTAAACTAAATTTAATGACTAAGGGCCGTTAGTGGTATTCATAGCCTTAGTTAGGAGTCAGATCATTTCAATGCATGTATGTAGGTATACAACTGTGTGTATTTAACTCTACTCACATTTACAAATTTTTTTATGTTGTAGGAGCAAACGAGCACACGGGTCACCTGATGGTAAGTGACTACCGCCGCCCATCGGCATCTGCAACTGCGGGTCACAATTGCGTTGCCGCCCTTTAAAACCCTCTCCACCCCCAGTACTAGGAGGAGCGGGTTCGGGTATCCTCTAGGTGTGAAGCAACCATAGAATCGCTTAACACCACCGGTTTGTTTATCTGTTATTCTTTCGCAAGTTAAGCACACGTCTAAATAATCATCAAATTCAATATTATAACTACAAGGACAGTTTATGATAACTTTAAAATACAATTTACTACCTAATACATACTTATTTATTAGATTTAGAACCAAAATACATTATTAATTATGACCCAGAAAATTTATATTTATCATAAAGAAACGCTTGGATGTCCTAGAGACACGGGTCAAGTGAGTAACATGCTCCCCAAGAGCTGCGTTAAAACATGTAAATATTGACCTAGTATGCGTTTCCAGACGCAGGATGTACCCGAAAAACCTCACCGAACACCGAACAAGTTAGGAGTTGTTAAATAGAATGATTAATTGTTCCGTACACGGCATGCTATTGATATTCATAAAGAATTTTGTAAAAATGAGCTCTATTCTTTCATTAAACTAATGAGACGAGTAGCGTGTCCAAGTAATCAACTTCCTAGTCAGTTTGGCCCCTACTTTGGTGGAATTATGTGTTAATTTTGTAAGTTTATATACACTATTTTCTATTAAAAACACTGAACAAGCGACGAAGGTACATCCCAAGGTTGTTGGGTTTCCTCGCCAATTGAATCGGTAGGAATTGATTTCTCGAAAATTGGAGACGGATAAAAAGAAGAACCATTAACATTAACAGTCATTCCAAATTCAAATTACGCGCTTATTTATGAGTAAGTCGTGTGATATCAAACCTCATTAGTAAAAAATACAAACCAGTGCGTATGTTAGTGAATGTCGTGCTTATATGACATGTCCCTACCTGTAGGTCTGTTGATGGGCTAATTTACTCTTATCATCGCCATTGGACATCCCATCGGGTGATATACGGACGCTGAAAGGGACAACACCGGGGTTAATATGGATATGAGACAGAGGATAAGTAGGTATGAATATGATATGTAGGTTGAAGTTTTATTTTTACCTCTGTTTCGGCCATTGCAAAAAAAAAAAACAAAGAAAATATATAAGCAGCTATATCTAGCTATACAATAAATAAGGAAAGAAACCCCCTTTAAGTGAGTTTAATAAAATTAAATATACTTATAATTATGGTGCGTTCTAAGGTTGAAAGTAATAAAATAGAAAAAGTGTTGCGTCAGCATACTTAATTTTCATGTAATACAGAATTTTATGGTTAAAAGACTTATTAATATCAGCCTTTACTAGCGATCACATATTTTAAATGAATGTTAGGATGTCACTAACACATCTTTCTATAAAATTATTTATCTGCTTTATTAATTTAAATTGTATTTTAATTAGTAATTACCGTACTGCAATAATATTATTCGCTCCAACACGCACAATAATTATAAAGTACAATAAAGTTACACCCTGTTAAATTATTATAACAGCTACTAATACATTCTAAGTTACACAAAATACCATTTACGTCCCTTTATGCTAATAAATGATACTCGTCATTATTACTGTACATACAGTAATTTATATCATATTTTTTGGCATTACCAATAAACTTATAATGGTTTAATTATTACCTTTTTTTTTTAAAGTGGACCAATAATTACGGGATAGTTAAATGTAGCCCGTTTCTTTACTTGTCGTGGTTTTACAACTAACCATATCAGCTATTACCACCGATGACAGTAGTCACGAAATGGCCAAAAATATACTCTTATTTTACAATCAACTTTTTAATCCATCCAATCAAATTGTAGCAATCAATTTATTAGCATCCAGGGGCAACTATTACCAAAAACAATCAATTTCTGTAAAGATCCCTAAGCGAAATTTGAAAACATCGTAACCAAACACTCGCTACAAAAACAGTTCTACAAACTTACCCTGAGAGCAACGGTGTTAAGGGCGCCAGAGGAGTCTCGCTGGATAAAGACTGAGCCCTTGATAATGCCGCTCCCGGAGACAATGTTGATGGCGTGCTCGGTGTAGAGCGACCGCTTCCGCCCCCTCCACCTGGCTCACCACCACCTGCAGACAGGATAAAGGTTTAAACATCGTAACGATCCAGAGAATAGCGTAACAGAAAGCTGTATTTCTAAGTAAGATTCCTATAACACAACACAATCTAACAAAATTAACGATTAACAGAATAATCTCAAAAATCTCAAAAACATCAAATAATGTTGTTCTTCTCTATTTTGTTGTTCATCAAAATATTGATCTAGTATTCATTATACTTATAATAAATACTTAAATTATTGTAATTAACATGATTCAGAGTACCTTATGTGCATATTTAAAGAACGGATTTAAAGCCGCCAGTATGGCAATAGTCCTCGCCTTCAGGTACTGCTGCTGACGTTAGTTAGCAATCTTAAAAACTTGGAAGCCATGGCTGAGATTCGTTTAACATATAAAGAAGGCTATGTTTCAGGGACATCATGTCGTATTTCTATGATATTGAAATGTTAACATAACAAAAATTAACTTCAGGAATTTGTAATTGTTGTTTTATCGTTTTCCCTGGTGGTACTAAAAGTACATAAATATAAATCAACGATCTTCGTAAAAGGTATTTGGAGATTTCGTAAGTTTTCTCAAAGATTGTTATAACTCCTATGTGGTTATTTATGTCAGTAAGAAATATGTAGATTGCACGTAGACCTTATAAATTTAACTGTCCAAAAAAAAACAACAGTTAAATGACTCAGATGAAATTTCATACGCATATTATTCTTCAATCTTTGTTTATGAGTTATAAAAAAGTAGAAAAGAAACGGTCAAAGATTTAATAGCATAGGCTGTCAATCTACTTGGCAATAAAATCCGTCTTTTAAGGATTGTAAGGGTTTTAATTTAGTTCGTTTCTTCCCCGGAAGTAAAAAAAATGTCTGTCAACTAAATTTTATGGCTGGCATCACTCATGTTATAAATGTCAACAATCATTAAGAGCGCTTGACGTCGGCAATGGCCCGTTAACGGCGTGAGTACCCCCGTAGGGTAATGAAAGAAAATAGTTCTTGATGAAAAAAGGCTAACAATCACACGTTTTATTTATTTAGGACAAAAGTGTTGTGACAGTTTGCATTAGTCCATTGTGGTTAATTTGTGGTTTCACAGTTCATATACAGATAATACGGAAAGATACGATTGTGTGTGGAACGGTCAGTACTTTTATGTTTAAAACTGAATGTTTTTAATATGTTATTATTTTACATAATATACGTACCATCATTAGACCACCGTTTGTCAACGCCATCAGTGCTGTACCCACTATCGATGACATGCCTAGGCTTATGCCTTAGGCAATCTATCGTGGCGTTGCCTGAAGTAATAATTTGATGTGTCGCTGTCTGGGCAGGCGTGTTGCTGATGAAAGAACTGTGTTTGGCCGACCGTCGTGTTTCATCTACTCGTCTATGCGGCAGTGTGTCTTTGTTTGCCATGTTTTCGAGGTATTTGAAAATATGCACACGCCCGCGCATGCAAATCTGGAAGAAACATCAATTGCCATTACTCTTGCATATCAATTATTTTCATGAATACATATCTGATGAAAGATTTATCTTTATAAAGAGAGTTTACATACATACACACATATAATTACCAGGTGGAAAGTTCACCCAGACTTAGATATCTGCGAACCATAATTAATTATAAGTACCTGGAGCTTTGCTCGGTATTTTTTTTGTTAAATTTTCTAAAAATGAAACCTAGGTAGATCGATTAATCGTCCCCGAAACCCTCTGCATACTAAATTTCATAAAAATCACTGGAGCCGTTGCCGAGATTCAGATTGCTCGTTTAAAGGTATTAGAATATACCAGCAAGATGCAGGCGATATCGTATGAAAGAATAAGTGGAGGCGTATTATACATCCACTGGTTGCAAATTATAAATTAGTTCCATTCACATAACCGGCAACAAGCCTTCTGTCGTCAATCATTGATTGATATCATTATTGAGGACAAAATAAGGAGCCAGAATATCCCTGGTTTGGCTAAATAATCGGGAATAAAATTATGTAACACCTATTTTTTAAACACGGCCTTAACAATTGGTTTTCACACCTCAATAAAATACATCCTAAAAATTATAAAACTAGAAAATTAGAAACGGTGTCAAAGTTGCGAAAATTGCAACGAATACTACATAATAGATTCTAATAATAGAATCTATTGATCGTTGACAATAACTCATAGCGATAAACATCGCCCTAAAAAACTTATGATAAGGTTACGCGGAATAGATCGAGCGTGATATTCTGTTAAAGCGAAAATTTTTTTAGCCTCTATACAGAACCAACCACATTATAAATGGAATATATATAAAAGGATCTTGTAAAAGGGAATAAATAAGGAAAACTTTTGCAACCTGTCTACATCTGGGTGTAAGGATTCTTGTATAATATTAGAATTGCTAACATTACGTAATGTTTCTCTGAGAATTTAAGGATAATAAATAATAATGCTAATAATATGATACTAAATAACTAATTGTTAATATTGTAATTATAAGTAGAGTGATTTGAAGGCCAATTCTAGTAATAAAAGTTCTGTTGCCTTTAGGTCCATTTTTTTTTCATAAAGAAAATGTACGTCAAATTTATGTTAATTACATAAAGAGTGCCGCGGGTGAAATGCATCTCATGTCAATGACGAGAAATCTAGTTTTACCGGCTTTTTTTTCACAACTTTAACAAGTCTATTAGCTTTAGATGCGTTATTACGCCGGTCTTTTGTGGATCACGTTTGCATAGACGATTAGCCTTGTTTATTCGGGAAAGCAACATGGAACAAGTATCGTTCAACGATCATATGTTTATGACAAGTGCTAGAGCTATATTTCAAAGGAGATAGTATTGCAGTGTATTAGTAGTAGTAGTAGGATTATATTAACGGTGATTAATATGATGGTTTCGGTATGTAAGTTCTTTTGGCAATTTTTAAATGTTCTTTAACTTTTGAATGTCTAGTCTTCTTCGAGTCACGTCATGAAAAAAAGGGTTCAGTATGTTTTACAACTGAAATGTAAATAAGCCTGTTGTTTATAAAACTGTAGTAAAAGTTTGTTTCTAAATACATAAATATACATACATACGCGTACATGTATGAATAAGGACTCTCATATCTTAGGTTAGTAGCCAGAAGAAGTGATCTGATTGAAGGTAGAAATCACTTCTGGAGTCAATGGATAGATAGAGAGAGGAGTAGAAAAATTCTCAATAGTGAAAAAAAAAACAGCTAGATGAACTTACTGTTGTAGGTGGTGAAACTAGAGGATTGTTATCCAGATTGAGAGTTACTAATGTATTCATGTTCCGCAGCTCTAGTGGGAGCGACGATATGCAGTTGCAGCTAACATCCAGATGCTCCAACCGAAGATATGTGATTTCTGTAATACAGAAAGTTTTGATAGAAAGGTGTACTTGTTTTCTATCTTTCTATAAGCGTTTAATTATAACACTTTTACGTCTTTTCTGTTGCATGCTGGTCACAGATTAAGTCATCTTTGTAGGTTTGTATATCTAATCTTACTGCAGATAGAACGCTTCAAATTAGTTTAATTAAAATGAAATGATCTGAGTCATGGCGAACGAAGGTGTTAAGAACACATTTATGGTGTTTGAGAGGTAGAGAAAGGAGTCGAACTTTCACAGGCCATTTAACTCATCTTATTAATTAACTCTCCTAAAGCGCGATGGGGTGACGTATTTTTGGACAGTGCTTGGCAGCAATTTAGGGTTGTCTGTGTATGTGTGCGTTTGTTATAAAACTATAGTAAACGTATTTGATACGTCTCTGAGTCAGAATGATACTTAGCTATCGACGCGATATCTCTAAAATAACTATTAAGCTACAAGAGATCAAAGAGGTTTCCTTGAGTTACATGCAAACGCCAACTGCATTTCCCTACTTAGAGCCAACCACTTCAGAAGAGATATGTAAATAAACATTAACGTCTGACCTAACTGCACATGCTCAAACTGTAATGAAAGCAATGATGCAGATTCGTTCATGATGCAGTCCTCATTAGTATTTGTTTGTTTTATACTGATTATGAACGAATAACCTCTGCGAATGAACATCCCAGTGAACGTTATAAGTAATTACCAATCGCATAATTTAGAAAATACAAGATACGAAAAATATTTTAATTATAATTATCATAATACGCGGCCTTCATCTTTTGTTGGTAATTTTTTTGTGACCCTATACTAACCTCATTTTGGGTTTCCTATCGACCCTAAAGACTGTTTTTCACTAAACTTCATTAATGATTTCTTCCAGTTTAGGTCCTTGGTATTTTTGATCCAAAATCCATAACTGAAAATTGCTGGATTTCGGAACACTAAACATATCGGCATATGCCTTATAATTTCCGGAATTCATACTAGGAATAACTTAACATTTCAATACGTGGAGCGCGCAATACTCTATCATATTTGACTGACACACAAACTGCGTTCGCGAAATGAGGACATCCCTATTAGGTACTACAAAAGGTTAATAGTCCCCCGAGGCAAAGGCATCGTCTCTTTTTGAAACCCTTTCCAGGTCATTGATGTTAAATATAATAACTTACGTAATGGAAGAAGTCCCAGCTGATTATTGCTAAGGTCGAGCGCTCTAAGACCAGCGCAATCCCCTAGAGTCATTGGCACTTGTGTGAGCCTATTGTTGGAAGCGTCCAGCTCAGCCAGTGACGACATTTTGTTTATCTCCTTTGGTAACGTCGTTAGCATATTGTCTTGAACTAAGAGCACCTGTAGTGGCATCTGGCATACTTCACGAGGCAATTCCGTTAGCTGGTTTGAACTGTGAACAAAGAAAAAAGCAGTTAGAACAGTCTATTTAATAAAAGTAACAAAAATAAAATATTCTCGATAGAATTTTCTTTATGCCTTTTCAGTTTTACTACAATGATCGAGAGTTACATAAGCGCATGATGTGTAATAGCTAATAACATGTTACATTCATTCGTCCCTTTTCCTGAAATCATCCCTTTTTTTTTTTCTTCCGTGCGGAAATCCCCTCGGATACCACCTATCGGTGGCGTGTCGGACTCGAACCGACTAAAACCGCACGCCGTCTCGGGTACTAATAGCCGGGGAACCAGGTATACCCTAGAAAGGAAGTCCCTAGTGCCCCGACATACCTCGGGCCATCTACAGACGAGTAGACGAGCCCCCCCGTGTGGGAACCCCATGTTCCCTCTGCTCCCTGGAAGCGATCGCGCTTCGCAACGCGCTCGCCGCCACCCCGGCCTGCTTCTGCTAGGGTGACAGAATGGCTCACCTGTCACCCCCAGGCCTGCGCTTATGGAGGACGGAGGTCCTAGCCCGTTCCTGGGCCTGGCGGGCCGGGAGAGTTCTAAACCTCTCCCGGCCCACGCACTCTCGCTCCGCACGATAGCCGCAATCAGGCTATTCAGCTATCAGTGGTGGCATTCAGGCGTTGGCTCCTTGCGGATCAGACACAAGTGATCCTCGAAACATCCTTTCCCAGTGATCACCTGCGTCAGTCGGTATGAAAGAGTCCCGTGACGCCTCTCGAGCCAATCCTCCATAACGGGTCTTACCGCCGCGATGACGGCGTGCCCGTCCTGAAATCATCCCCTAGTATTAAGAGACATAGACAGGAAAGCGAGAGGAAATATGTAACACATTAAAAGAAAAGTTATCAGAACCGTATTTGTTTTATATTTTTTATTTTTAACTTTACAACAACTGTGTAGTTGTTGTAAAGTTAAAAATAAAAACATTTATAAAGCTTGTAATATTATTCAAAGCTCTAAAACATGCCACGATATTTGATAAACATGTATATTTGCTTCCAATATTTCAAAGTGCAACATAATTTATTCATAAGAGTCAATGAACGGGAATATAAACAAATGCACCGTGCGATACATCACTAAAAGTTTATTTTTAACGCAGAAACCTACTTTACATGGGATTGCGTTTAATTAGATCGGTTCGAACATAAATCGGTCGTCGCTTAACCTAATAGTTTCGAGCTCGTGCCAAGAGAACTAGTAAACATTGTTGTTAAAGACTTGGATGCTTCCTGCTTTTAGATCAAAAAATCTTCAACACATTAACTCCTATAGGTATACGCGTGTGGTAACTTGATTAGATAAGTATAGTAAACATCGTAATATACCTATCATCTTGTGTGGTCCTACAAGATGATAGGTTACTCGTAAACAGTGTACCTACTAGCAATAAATTTACTTGTAATGAGCAATTACATAACTTTTCTTTGTATCAATAAGCTATTAGGAAATTATTTATTAAATCGTGGTGAATAATAATGTACGTTATAAATAAGTAATTAGTGTTCAAATTTATCTATTCCCTTTTTATAATATGTCCGAAGCATTAAATATGCATTTCGTCCCATGTCAAAGTCTAAGCACATAACTACACGATTTTGAATACCTCTCTTCTATTAAGGTATTTAAGATCCTACCTAACTGTGGGTAGACATTTTGCCGTCTAGACACCTAAGGACGTTGCCTTTAAACAGTATTCAATTCAACACTGGGAATCAATAAATAGATGAGAGGTTGTTGCTCTATGCAATGAGAAGAACCGGCAATATTGACTGCCGCGGATTATTTCGCAGAAAGATCGATCGCACTACACACACAGGGAATGGCCTATATTCAGTTGTTACGATAATTATATCGCATGACGTCAGCAATCCAATAAAGCTAACGACCACCAAGACGAACGACTGTGGGGTATTACAGTTGATAAAAGAATATCATTACATATGTACTTCAAATCTGCAGCGCATTGAATGTTAACATTTTATTAAATTTAACTAATTTGGTAAGCAAGACACGGGTCACTTAATGCTAAGCATTTACTAAGTTTTAATGTTGTTTTTTCCATGCATACTCACAGACAATTTCAACATCTGTGACTATTACTACTGTTTTGTAATGGGTCCAAGTAAATAATTTTCAAACAGAAATCTATGGTCAAAGTAATCTATAACCTCTTATTTAATTAAATGTATAAAATAACTTGCCCTGACTAATGGATTAATAGACGCCGAGCCTAAACCGCGGGGACTACAAACTTGAAAATGCAGCTTTATTTTTGTAAGCACTCAATAAGAAAGGATTTTTGGAAATTTCTCCCCAAATTACGACGAAATAATCATGCAGGAAAGTCACTGGCAATAGTTAGTTTAACAATATAATATTAAATTAAATATACTGATAGAAAACTTCAATTTGTAGACACATGATCAGTTTCGCAGCCTTAGCAGAAACGTTTTAAGATTTTCGAGAAAGCAAAATTCGCACCACTGGCACTGCAGAAACGCATTGTTCCTAATTTATTGCCGATAAGGCAAAGTGAAACGTTAGTAGTAGCATCTTTAATGCGCAGTGCGATAGGATACATAAGCACAACTTACAGAATGCGGTTCTAAATTGGCACAAAGCCACAGGTTCAGACAAAACATTGTTTGTGCTTAAGTAAGATCACGTTTTTACAGAATAGCAACCACAAAACTAATGTCAGATTGATATGTTTTCTAATAATTTTCTGATACTAAGGTTATTTAATTTTATTTCTTGTAATATTATAGTAGTCTGGTAATATTAAGTCTCATTTTTTTCCGTGTATCACATCACAGACAGTACACATTTACAATATTTAAAAAACTAACATACAGTATGGTACAGTTCTTATACATAGACCTACAAAATGTATACACGGTATATATAAATAGGTTGACGAAGATAAACTATTAGATATTAAAGTAAAATAAAAAACAGTTAAATACAGTAAGCATGTGAGACAAAAATTCTTTAAAGTTGTAAAACGAATTATGAAAAATGTACAATTAATCGAGTTCTGCCATTTAATGTTTAACTTTAACCATTTAACTACGAGTGGTGGTACTGTGAGTAAATTTAGGACAGATTAGGTCTCACTTTTGGGCTGTAGAAAGATCTGGTTACAGGTTATGTGGTGGATTGCAAGGAACAACTAGTACTCAACTGTTGAATTTCAGTATAGTCAATGCTGTTGTTGATTATTAATGTTAATATATAAAATTACAGAAACTCGAAATGGTTGGTTATATTTTTGATAATTATTGGTATTTAGTTCTATTTTATAAAAAAAGAAAACGAATCAGGCTTACAAAGTTCTCTTTTAGTAGAAGAACATACGTATCTACGCGTGCCGCACTAAATAGCATTAAATTTAAATTGAATTCACACTAAACTTCTCTCCAACTCAACCGGATAAAGTGGGCCAAAGCTCAAATAAACCTATCTCAATTAGAACCTAACAAAGAAAGTAAAGAAAGGAAGCTTTCATAGCCTTCTCTCTCTTACATATGAAATGTTGCTGTCTTTATAGGACATAATAAGTATACAGGGAAGTATACGTTTGAAAATAAACAGAGAATGGCGACACCGTTTGTCGAATGCTTGATGACAAATAAATCCGGGTATCAACAAATTTCTTTAAAAAATTAGACAAATTGGTTAGTTAGAACATCCGGATTTTTAATTTATAAATAGTTTCTATTTAAGGGCCACACGTAATTTCTAGGCCAGAGGATCGAAACGGCTCAGCCTGACCGCACGTTGCTCTGTTTCGTTACCGTACCGCACTTTTTATTATAGACTGAATTGTTATCATTTATTTTTATTTTACTTTCGTACAACTTAGTTCTAAATTAGTCTCTCCTTTTTTGCCTATACTGACTATGTATCATAATCCCATACACAGCTTCTCTTACAGTTCTAATATATTATATTAAATAGATAGTTTGTGACTTTAATTAGCTGGTAATATTAATTCGTAGGATCGCTATTACGATTCTTGAAATGGCGTCACTATAGGACACTACATACCTACATCCCTAAGTCAATAAATGTAATGAACGAACTACGATGATTAAAAAGTTTAAAAATCACAACCATTTCAACCATTATACAAATAAGGCCTACATTTTACAACACATTGTTTGATGGCACACTTTTGGGTGCCCATTGATCAAACTTCTATTTAAAGCCCTCAAAATCCCAATTCAAATTTTAGAATTTTTACAAATTGCTCCTAAAAGTATAAGATTGCTCCTAAAAGGATGTGTGATCTAAAAATACAGGTACACAACCTATTTAAATCCAGAGAATTTTGAGTTCTTTATTTATAGTGGTATATTTTACGTCTGCACAAATTTTGCACAATGAGAACTAGACGAAATTATGATTTCTTATGTATATTTTGACTTGACTTTAAAGAATTACCGGACACAAACTTTTTTTCTTTAAAAAAAGACAACTCCCGCATTGGGAATATATCCTGTGTCGCGGGGGACTTTACAAACATACATAAAACGGACACAAAGAACACCCAGACTCAGAACAACAAATTTCTAGATCACATAAAATGTCGTCCCGTTTGAACGCACAACAGTAGGAAGCGGCGTGGAAACTTCAACTCGTGTCAATCGTGTCAAATTTATATAAATATGATTAGTTTAATTAGGAGGCTTCTTACTGGGGATAAGCGACATGCCGGATACTTATTTTATGTAATTGCCAGTCATACTATAGATGGATATTATATGTATACCAAATGTGCATCAGTTGTCACTTTATCATCATACGAGATAATGACTAGCCCATTTACGAGTAGTATCTGAAATCAATTTTACTAATCTCAGCAACTAATAGCAACACTACCAGTATAAAACGTTATCTAGTTCTGACAAACATCCCTTTCCACTTCGTATCCTA